ATAAGAGTAGTTGGTGGTCTGTTCCACAATCAGCTCCTGGCCTAGTTTTCACAGCTGATATTGAGCTTCTCCAGCGGTTCTTTCCACATATGTAATCGATCTGATTCCTATGCATGCCATCAGGTGAAATCCTGGTATATAACCTGCGTTTATGCCTCTTAAAAATGTATTTGCTATGAATAAGTCACTGATTGTGCAAAATTCAGTCATTCTCTCTCCCGCTCCATTTCTGTCACCGAGCCCATGTTTTCCAACTGCTGAATCTTCCTCTTTGTTCCCGACTTTTGCATTCCAGTCACCCATTATTATCAATGCATCTTGGTTGCATGTTCGATCAATCTCTAATTGTAAAAGTTGGTAAAAATCTTCTATCTTCTCTTCCTTGCACTAAAGATTCCTTATTAGTAGTTGGCAACTGAATGCAAAAGTATAGAACAAAAAAGAAGAACCTGTAGCAGGAAATTACAAACTTGGAAAGAGAAATGAAGCTGCAGATAGAACTATAGAATTTTGTACAATCAGTGATTTATTTGTTGCAAATACCTTTTATTAAAAACACAAATGATTGTGTGCTGCTTTTGTGCCACCAAGTCAGAACTGACTCATAGCTGACTCTCCAGTAGGTTTTCAAATGCTGTAAATCACGTGGGAGGAGATTGTTCATCCTTCTCCCATGGAACAGCAAGTGGGTTCGAACCACCTGCCTTTGTGTTGACAGTGGAACTCCTTATCACTAGTCCACCAGTGCTCCCTTTGAAAGAAAACAAGCAAAGGAGGGGAGAGAGAGAGAAATTTTGACTTTTTAAAATAGGAGCAATAAGTTTGACTTTTGATTCACTGTGACTCTGAAAAGCTAGCTCTCACTAAGAGCCTCCATCCAGGACTGAAAGTTAAAAGGAATTGTCATTATGCTGATTCATGATGGCCACCTACATCCACTTGATGAATGCAAGTGATAGGTATGCAGCAAAGAAGAAACATGTTTGAATGTGACCCCATATCCATATATGTATTGTTGGCCTGAGAAGGGAATTATGAATACTCGTAATTTACTGACTTAGCCCATGGGAGGGACCATGAATGCATCTGGTTGGTGCTCATTGGATCTAGCCACAGATGGCTAGAAATAAGTTGACCAGAACACAACCGGATGAAGAGAAGATGTTCTGTGTGAGCTGGTGTAGATTGCTGCAATCAGATGGCTTGCTCTGGACTGAGCTTTACTTATAGAAGCATATGCTTAAATTTCCATCTGGAATAGAAGGTTCTTCAGGCTAAGGAGCGTGTTTGTTTTCTAAGAGTACCAGTTTTATTGGAAAGGGCAAATTGTAAATTGACTATCTAAGTAGGGAAGATAAAGGCATGAGTATTTGGCTTACATGCATTCATGAATGTAGTCGTAAGTAAGATGATTGTAACAGAAAAAATAATCCTTAAAATATGAAGGACAATTGCTAAAAAAGCCAGAGGACAATTGTGGTATATTTGGTTTATTATTCAAAATGGACCTTCCTAGCTATTGCTTTTGACTTTCATTTATCATCTGGCTAACATGATATAATATTTGTAATGGAACTTGTCAGTTTTGCCTTCCCACCAGGTTTAAACAGATCAGATTTAACAGAAAAGAGGGAATATCACTAACAACAAGAAGGAAGAAGCAGAGGAAATACAAATCCTTTGAGATAAGAGATTCCCATGTCAGTTATACCTGGACCTACACATGAGTGCAGACAGTCACAGGAGAGAACCAGAAACCCATGAGAGATAGATCTGAGTTGGGGCTGCCCCTTGTAGAGCCAGAGGCAAAGACTTCACTCAAGTTCATAGGAGGACCAGGGTGTAGGAGGAGGATACGATAATTGATAGGACTGAGAAATCTTTGTAAGGTCTGTAAAGACTTGCCTAAAGCACAGCACTGAAGAGCTTGTCAACATGATTAGGTAGCTGTCCTGACTGAAGAATTTTATCCTGCTGCCAGCCTAATTTGTAACCTGATAACTCCCCTTAAAACCCTACAATAATGATTATAGTTCTGATAGGCCCTTTGCAATGGATTTTGGACCTAGTATAATGGCTTCCCATGGTGGACAGTGTTTGGTGGAGCTCCCAGTTTAATACAGGTGTGGAAACTGGAGTGGTATCCACCTCCTAAATTATATGCCTCTGGAAACTCTATGAACTTCGAGAAACAATTATAGTTGCAAAAAAGCCTCAGGTCTTTTCTTCATAGGGTCACTATGAATTGTGCTTGACTCAATGGCAAGCAACAACAACAACAAGTAGGTGCAGGAGCATGGCAGCCATGTCTGATCTTATGGGAAATGGTTTTATAACATGTAGCTTGCTGATGAGAGCTATTTCCCTTTGGGAAACTAATAGCAGTCAAATTCAGAAATCTCTATGTTGCCCCCACTCTTTATAGTTCTTATTGTTTTTATTATTATGTGTTGTTGAGTAAGAACCAACTCATAGCTGACTCTCCAGTGGATTTTCAGAGGCAATAAATTGCACAGGATGAGATTGTCCATCCTTCTCTTGCAGAGCAACTGATAGATTCCAACAAGATTTATATTAAATTCTTTAGATTCATAGATAGCCAAGCCTACATAATCAGTTGCCCCAAGCAGAGACCTGTGAGCCCTGCTACTACTTATGATTCATGCTCAAATCCTAACTCAAGTGGCACACACATCAGAACTTTGGAAAAATTGCTTGAATGAGCACAGCTGCACAGTTCTGAAAGCTTTGTGTGCCCTTCAAATTAACTGTGGGCTTTTTACCCAGGGGTGCTGAAGTCTCTCTCACTAGAGCTTTCCTGGAGATCCTGGGAAGCACAAAGAGATCATATTTTGGCTGCTAGCCGAAAGGTTGGGTGTTTGAGTCCATTCAGAAATGCTTGATAAGAAAGACCTGGTGATCTACTTCTGAAAACCAGTCAATGAAAATCCGAGGAACACAGTTCTATTCTGATATCCATAGGGTACATTGAGTTACAGTTGACTCATTGACAGGATGGCAACTGAATTTTTCATAATTCCCGGTCTAAGGAGAAGATTCTGGCAAAATACTGTCTATGTCAGTTATAAAGGGTCAAAGTGGTATATGCCATGTGCATAGACATTTGCTTATTGTAAAGAACAAGAAAATGGAGAAACAGATGCCCTCTCACAATTACCAATTGGTGAATTACCTAATCAGCACTGTAAAGAAGTACATTCTAAAAGTAAATAAATAAATAAATAATAAATACATAAATACATAAATAAATAAATGAAGTAAAAATATTTAATAGCAATAAACATGGATGTTCATATATCTGGGTGGAAGTTTTGATTTCTTTAAGATATAGTCCCAGTAGTTTAATTGCTGGGTCAAATAGCATTTCTATTTCTGACTTTTTGAGAAAGTGTCATACTGCCTTTCAGAGTAGTTGCACCATTTTACTCTCTCACTAACAGTGAATAAGGGTTCCAATTTCTCCACAACCTCACCAGAATTTGTTGTTTGCTATTCTGCTGAATTTTGCTATTGTTACTGGGGTGAGATGATTACATTCATGTTTATTGTTGTGTTGTTTATTATAGCAAAGAGATGGGAGCAGTTTAAGTGCCCATCAACAAATTAATGGATAGAGAAGCTGTGGTATATTTACATAATGGAATACAATGCAGCACTGAAAAACTAAGAACTCATAAAATATTATACAAAATGGGTGACCCTAGAGGACATTATGCTGAATGAAATATCTTAGTCACAAAAGGACAAATACTGTATAAGGCCACTGTTATAAAACAGGGCTGACATGGGGGTTGGGGAGAAACTAAGAAAAGAGGGGATAATGAGCATTGTATTTAAATAGATGAGAAAAAGAATTGTCTAAAAGAAATATATGATTAGATATTATTTGCATGACAACAGTTCAGAGTAAGAGCTGCACAGCAAAGTGGACAGAAGGTGGGAGAAGGGAGGGGAAGGAAATGATATATCAATAAAATCATCTTTTTAAAGAGAAAAGCAAACCTGGGAGGGGGTAGGGAGGAAAATGTGCAACAATGAGTGAATGGAAATCCAAGTTTTCTGTAAACTTTCATTAAGATATCAATTAAAAAAAGGAGAAAGAAAAGGGAAAAAATAGTTAATAGCATTAATTCGTGCCTGCTGTCACATTTCCCTGGTTTGTCTGTGCTCCAGGTTCAGATTTAGTGGCCGAATCCTAGGCCTGGCGCTGATCCATCAGTACCTTCTTGATGCTTTCTTCACGCGGCCCTTCTATAAGGCACTTTTGAGACTGTAAGTGTGTATAGACCCCAGTTCCTCTTTAATCCTGCCTGTAGGTACTAGATTTATATAGTTTGCCAGTCTGCATTCCTACGTATTGTCCAAGTTTATGTAAGAATAGGGTGAAACTATAATCATTATGTTACATCATGTGTAGAAATCTATTTCTATTATAGTAATTCAAAGATTACATTAAACTATTAGATAGAACTGATACATTTGTAATAAATAACTCTTTTAAGATTATTCTTTTCTCCAATTACTATGGAAAGAGTTCAACTATTTCACATTTACTATCACAAAACCTTTAATAGTTCCTTTCCAAAAGAAAAATTTTAATCTAAAACAAAAAGTCCATCAATATTACTCAAAAGTAAAGATTGTTAGATGAAATGTGTGCTGTTTTAGCTAGGGTGGACATAACTAAATTTAAGAAAGTTCTCTGAAACTGGAATTCTTATTCACTGTTGGTGGGAGTATAAAATGGTGCAACCACTATGGAAAGCTGTATGATGCTTTCTCAAAAATTTGCAAATAGAAATATTATTTGACCCAGCAACTCCACTATTGGGAATATAACCTAAAGAAACTGTAACTGCCACCTAAACGGAAACATGCACACCTATGTTTATTTCGGCTTTGTTCACAATAGCAAAGAGTTGGAAACAACTCAAGTGCCATCAACAAACGAATGGATAGAGAAGCTCTGCTATATTCACACAATAGATTACTATGCGGCATTTGAAAAACAAGGAACTCATGAAATATTACACAAAATGGGTGATCCTGGAGGACATTAAGCTGAGTGAAATATCTCAGTCACAAAAAGACAAATATGGCATAATGCCACTGTTGTAAAAGAGGGTTGACATAGGAGTTGGGAGGCAACTGAGAAAGAGGGGATAAATAATGTATAATACATTAAAACAAATGAGGGAGATAACTGTTTAAAAGATATATATGATTAGATATTATTGTTATGACAGGAGTCCAGAATGAAGGTAGCATAGTGGCGTGGACTTGAGGGGAGGGATTGAATAAAAAAAAAAAAAAAGAATTTTTTCATTTAATTTTCAAAGAGAAAAGCGAATTGAGGGGGAGGGGTGGGTAGAGAGAAAAATGCAACAATGAATGGAAATCCAAAGTCTCCGTAAATTTTCATTAAAATCAATAAAAAAAGAAAGTGCTCTGTAAGAGCATTTATTATAATGATATTAACATCCTCAGCTAGAAAGAATAAATCATTTGTTCAATAATTCTCTTTTGTACTCACTTAGACCCTGTGATTTGAGTGACCTGGAATATTTGGATGAAGAGTTCCATCAAAGCTTGCAGTGGATGAAAGACAACAATATTACAGACATCCTAGACCTCACTTTTACAGTTAATGAAGAAGTTTTTGGGCAGGTTTGTAAGATGTGGAACTTGAAAATGGGATTTCCTTTTAAAATTAAAAAGGAAAAATTTTTATTCATTAAAAATACAGTTCTTTAGCGAAGATTTGCTTTACATTTATATGCAGTCCATGTTCTTTCTTTTTTTTACTATGACTTGGATTTATTTTATGTAGGTTTTTGCAAATAAAGTCAAGATCAAGATCACAAAGCATTTTGTAAACAGTGCAATATATATGCAAGGCAATTTGCATATATTCTTGCATAAAATCTTGCAACTATAAAATAATTCTTTTCATTACCAGTATTCAAACATAGATTCTTTCAATTAATATGTGCACATATTAATCTATTTAGTAAATTCAAGCTCATAATTTGTATTCCATAAATGTTTATATAATTTTTAATCCTATGATCAAATGGGCTACATTTTTATCATAAAATACAAACAGTTTGAGCAAAGCTAATAGTTGAAGTTTTGAAAACAGCTTATATGTGGAGACCTCAAAACCCCATGTCATGTAATGGAATTGTTGTGTTGAGTATGCTAGAATAAGTTATCATGCATAAATGTGGTCCTTGAGTGACACACATTTCAACTTTACTGTTAATCTGATTGTGGTGTTTCAAAGTCATTCCGAAGTGTTGTTGAAGAAAGACTGGGTGATTTGCTTCCATAATGATTACAGACAAGAAAACTCAATGGAGACATTTTTCTCTACAATATGTGGGGCTACCAGCAATTATCACAGACTTGACAGAAAAGGGTTTAGTGTTTAATTTTTCGTGAATGTGGCCAGAATGCTGAATCTACTGGTGGCAGATACCTACTGCATCCTGAGCTCCACCAAGCCTTGTATTGTGCCTTCTAATTGTTCTACTGTGTGTCATCTAGTCAATCTCATAGCACTACCCCAACAGATTTCGATGTCTTTAATCATAGCCAATGCTAGATGGATCTTGGGTGAAAGCAGAGCGTATCAGAGGAATGTCTATCTCTGTTTCATTGACTATTCAAAGGCATTTGATTGTGGATCATAACAAATTGTGGTTAACCTTGAGAAGAATAGGTATCCCAAAACACTTAATTGTGCTCATGCAAAACCTGTACTTGGACCAGGAAGCAGTCTTCATAATAGAGCAGGAAAACACTGCATGGCCAGGATTAGGAAAGGTGTACACCAAGGATGCATCCTGTCTCCATACCTTTCAATCTGTATGTAGAATAAATAATTCAGGAAGCCTGGACTTCATGAAGAGGAATTGGAGGAATGGGGGGATTGGAGGAAGACTCCTCAATGCCTGTGTTATGCAGATGACATAATACTGCTTTCTGAAACTGAAGAGGACATGAGGCATTTCCTGCAGAAGGTGAAGGAATGTAGTTTTCAATATGCATTAAAGTTCAACATCAAGTTAACAAAGATTCTTACCACTGGGCCAAATATCAGCTTCATGATGGATGGAGAAGGGACTGAGATTGTTGTGCTGATAATTTCAGCTTGCTTGATTCAACACTCTTGTAACCAGCAGTCAGGAAATCAAAAGACAAAATGCACTGGGAAAGTCTGCTGTCAAGGACCTCTCTAGAGCAACAATGTAAGTCTGGACACTAAGGTGTGCCTAATGCAGAACATGATCTTTGCAATTACTTGCTATGCATCTGAGAGCTGGACAATAACTAAAAATGATAGAAGGATCAATGCCTTTGAGTTGTGGTGCTGAAGAAGAGTGTTGTACATACTGTGGAGTGCCAGGAGAACAAACAGGTCTGTCCTGGACAGAATGAAATCAGGCTGCTCCCTGTAGGCAAGGATTTTGAGGCTCTATCCCACATACTTTGGGCATGTGGCCAGGTGGGACCAATCCTTGGAGAGGGACATCATCATGCTTGAAAGGGATGAGGGAACAGCGCAGGAGAAGCAGACCTAGGATGAGATGGATTGACTCAATGACTGGAGAAATGGGATTAGGTCTATTGGACATGACTCTGGTTCAGGATAGCGCAGATTTCAGAGCTAATGTACATAGGGTCACTATGAGTTGCAGTTGACTTGATGGCATACAATAACAACAAACATTAACAATCTTTGCAGAAGCAAGTTGCCACATTATTCTTACAAATAGCAGCTTATAGGTTAATACCATCAACATTCCAAATAGCAGCTAAGCATCTCAATGAATCAGATTATTTTATAGGAACATACTTCTGGAGAATATTCTCTTACTTGTTGTTGTTAATGTGCCGTCGAGTCGCTTGCGACTCACAGTGACACTTTGTACAACAGCCCTAAACTCTGCTCTGTCCTGTGCCAATCACACTGTCTCTGACATTCCCATCCTGATTATCCCAGTCACTGAATCAATCCACCTCATAGAGGGCCTTCCCCTCCTGTGCTGTCCATCCACCCTCCCAAGCATGATGTCCC